AAAAAGAAGGCACCTTCAAAAAGAGGACTGTTCTCTGTCAAGAACAAAAACCTTACATAAAGTCTATGCAAGATTCCCTTGCTACCTTTGCAAGACCTTTGTCCTCCAGCAAAGGAACAGGGAGAAATTGTGCATCCTTGCCAGGATTCGCAGAAGGGTTGCAAGGCTTTTGGGTGGGATATTTACAATTTAACATGGTGGTTGAAAGGTATTTCTATCCTTTTCTTTCTCTTTCTTTTCTAAAGAAAACTTTAAATAAGGCAAGGCACTATTCTCAGCAGCCCCTGCTGGTTGCTCTGAGAAACTTGTCCAAATGATGCTGAGAACATCTATATGTGATGATGCAGTGTGGTTCTCAGCAACATGGCAGAGGAAAAAAGATGGCTGCCCGATGCTCTTCACAGAAGCTGGCATGCTGTAGGTGCTATAAAAATGTAATCTACATGTATAAATAACTAAATTACAAGAGGTATTGCTCAGTGTTGTCAAAGTGGTAACAAAAGAAAAAGGGCATTCAGCAGGTATTTAATTTTAGGCATCATCATCATCATCATCATCATCATCACCATTTTAACACTGCCACTATTCATTCTTCTCTTTGCTGCCCAGTAGTACTGTTTAGGGTCATCCAGGGCCTAATTCATGCGGGGCCCTAAGGACACTGTAGCCTTGTCTGACGCCAGCTGTAATACGTTTATTAGGCACTTGAGGACAAAATCTCTTGGCATCTACCATGACTTAGACTCCACAGTTATAGCAGTTGAATCAGGTGAGGTCATCAGAGTATAGCCTGGTCCTATTGTCTTGGATGAGTTTCAGATGATACAGAAATACAGAAATCCACAAGCAAATGTTCCTTTTCTGAGCAAGATGGTGTGGTCAAACATCTCCAAGTTCTCTGGGAAAGATCAGTTATCTGAATCTATTTCCATCAGGGTTATGGCATAAAAATGACGTTGGTTGCCTTTATGATGAACTTGATCATCTATGTTGGGAGAGAGACAGGGCAAGTGTGACTCTGTTGATAATCCTAGATCTTTTGGAGCCTTTTAACAATATCAAACATGGTACTCTTCTGGAGTAACTATCTGAGCTGGGAGTGGGATTACTGCACTGTAGTGATTCTTCTTCTTGGATGGATGGCTTCAGAAAGTGTTGCTTAGGGAATATTGCTTGGACCTGTGGATTCCCCAGCATGGGGTTCCTGAGAGGGCAGCTTCGCCCGCCCCCCCCCCACCCCCACCATGTTTTTCAACATCTATATGAAATGGCTGAGTGGAGTCATCTAGAGTTTTTCCAGTGCACTGCCATTTCTACTTTCATCTCCCTCAGATCAGGCTATGTATGCGCTACACTGGCACCTGCCTGTGACAATGGACTGGATGAGGACAAACAAACTAAATCTTAGTCTAGGCAAGACTAGAATGCTGTTTGTGTTTCCTCTAACTGAATGGAGACAGTTCAACCTGTTCTGGATGTGGTTTGCATTCCCCTTGAAGGAATAGGTCCATAGGTTGAGGGTCCTTCTTCAACCATCTTTATCACATGAGGCTCAGATGTCTCAGTGACAGAGAATGCCTTCTACAACTTCAGTTGGTGACCCATTTATGCCCCATCTGGACAGAGATAGCCCAGTTTCAGTAATCTATGCTGGGTAATCTCTAAATTTGATTGCAATGCACTTTATGTGGGGCTGCTTTTGAAGGCAGTTCAGAAACTCCAGCTTGTGCAAAATGTAGTAGCCTAAAAACTGAGTCCAAAAGGTACAAACATATAACCCCAGTTCCAGCCCACTTGCATTGGCTACTTGCATGCTTCCAAGGCTGATTCAAGGTGCTGGCTCTTACCTATAAAGCCTTAGATGACTTGGGCCTTCCGAACCTGACAGACGCCTCTCCTGAATCTCCTCCAGATGTTATGCTCAACATCTGAGGCCTTCCTCTGACAGCCATCTTTAAAGTAGGCTAAGGGGGTAGGAGGGCAACAAGGGGAGGGCTTTCTCAACAGTGATCCTCCAGTTATGGAATAGTCTCCCCACTGAGCCCCTTTAGATGCCACATGAAAATCATCCTTTCCTCCAAGACATTCATTGGCATCTATTGGGATAAGTGAGGGTGGTGGGGAGTTAATAATGGTCAGGCTATAATGAAAAATTGTTTTGAACTGGTCAAACTGTTTTAAATTCCGTTTTGAATTTTGTACATTGATTTTAATGCTGTTTCTAATTCTGTCATGGTTTGTTTTTTACGCACTGTTGTGATATGCCCAGAGAGCTAAAATAAATAAACAAATGTGAAATAATAAGGACAAAATTGAAATGAAGAACAGTACAAGTCTTGACCTGAACAATCCAGTTGCTGAAGTCTTGGTGTACTCCCAAACTTTTAAACAGGGGTAAGCGACCTTGTGCTTTCCAAATGTTTTGAATTACAACTGCCATGTTGCCCAGCCAACATAACCACTGATAAGGAATTATGGGAACTATAGTACAAAACATCTGGAAGGTACCAGGTTGCTTATCCTTATTTTAAAACTAGTGTATATTTAGACTGTAGGTATACCTTTAAGAATCCTCCAAACTGGGAACATAGTCACTGACCATCTATTATGTGACTTACTACCCTCTGACTGCAAAGGCCAGCACTTCCAATAAGGACACCTTTGCACTGCTGACTAACTTCTATACAGAATCATAATGAACAGTTTACTCCAGAAATGGGGGAATGTTCTCTCATGCTGACATCACTCCCAAGACAGCATGCATATGGGCAACATAATCCTTAGATGGTAAGGTGCTGCAGATGCAGAAGCCTTGGGGTTAATAGGGGACTGAAGAAAACTGAATTAGTTTTCTAATAAAGGGACTTTGTATTTCCCTTAATACAGAAATGGAGAACTTGAAGCCCACGAAGGTTCCCGGAGGGCATTAGAGATAGGAAGCTATTTAAAGTGCAAAGAATTTTTGCAAAAAGAATTTTTTTGCAAAGAGCTTGAGATACTTATTTTGCAGGGAGTAAAGTTGCTGTACAGAATGAAGGTTTAGTCTTTACTAGCAAGGGACAACCAAAGGGCACTGTTGGTGTATAGAAAGGTGAAACTGCTGTTAAAGTTGGCAGGTGGCCCATCATAATTTTTGAATAACTCATAGAAAAATCCACAGCTCTAATTTCATGTATATTATGTATCTCTATAGGTTAGTATATAACAGAACATACTACTATCATGAAATAATTAAGCATAGACCTCAGCAAAGGTGCCTCAAGTTTCCATCTATTAGCCCACTTGTAAATTAAAAAGGCCACCCATTCAAAAATTGAAGTGGTCATTAAATCATCCACCAATTGAGATATTTCAGTTTTGTTCCCATTTATTTATTTATTTTTGTACTGCACGATAACAATTCATGACAATAAAGTTGGCAAGTGGCCTGGCAGAGGTCTCTTGAGTATGTTCTCGACTTCTGGACCTATTGCTGCTACCTCTTATTGATGATGTGCAGCCACTGATGGGCTCTTAACAAGGTGGTGGTGGGAGAGTGGAATCCTAAAGTCTGTCCCTGTACCTCTATTATACAGTAAACCTACGGATCTGCCTAAATGCAACACAGAGGCAATCTCCATGTCTTTAGCACTTTGCTGTGCAGCTGTAGACCACCAGAGAGTGCAGCCTGATCACAACGAGCTCAGAATGCTTGAATCGTGCAACCTGAACGTGGTCCACGAGGATGTTGCAAAATACTTCAAGGTTCCAAATTCCAAGTTCACCCTTGTGAAATTTGCATGGAGATATAAGTAGCAGTTGTCTCACATAGCTCTTTTCCACAGATGCACTGCTAATAATGGGGAGATTTTGCTTGGATGTTTAGTAAGAAAGGGAGAAATCTTTGGGCTACAAAGGGGGTTATCCCTGCACTCCTGCCTGCTAGATTAAACACCGAAACAAGCAGTGTAAAAACATTCCATAGTCAGGCTATGGTTGCAGCATATGTATGTGGAAGTACGATCCTCGGTAGGATTTTACTCCTGATAAGGCATGGCCAGGATCAGGCTGATACCTCCCTAAGCAGGTTGCTTAAGATTAGGCCCCTCTAAATTCTGTGGAGTGATGTAACCCAGCTTTCTATTCAGCCACTGATTTGTAGGTGACAATGACAGCAAATGCTATATATTCTAGCAGTAGCAAAAGGCTGGTGTTTGGGTACCTGCTTAAAAACTGGATCATTAAAAAAACAAAACAATAACAAAATGTGCATAATTGCCAGAAATAAAAGATAGTTTATGGAAATGAATGAAACTACCTTAAAATCCCAGAACATATCTATATCATTGATGGATGAATATGTGATGTTGAGCTCACTGTGGTTCCCCCAATTCTTCCTTGAAGCTCATCCTAACTAGCAGATTTTTAAAAATGGGAAAAATATGCATTTTAAAAAGTAACATTTAAAAAGTGCACATTTTAAAAAGTAACATTTCCCAAAACTCTGAATTTCCTTCTGAGACTAAAGTGTGAAAATGTGGCTTTTTGGAGGGATGTGCATTTGCTCACATACACTTGAGCAATTACACATTTTGGAAGTGCACACTTGTGCACATGTACAAATACTAGTTAAGGAAATGTGAGACTTTCCCAAGAATTAAGTTCCTGCTCATGTTTGGGATTGCAAACATCCTTCTCTATATCACCAGTCTGAAAGTATTGGAAAGGAGCATTGGAAACTCCTTGGACTTTCTGGACCATTACTAAAAACTCTGAAGTTTTTTCAAAGTCCAGTTTCACATCAATGCTTCCAGAAAGTTGTCATCTCAATAGACTCATGTCTTTAAGGAAGCAAGAGAAGACTGCCCACACCAGAAAGCACCCAGATTAAATTTCCCAATTTGGTTCAGCTCTAGAGGAAACTTTGGGAAAGTTGTATTGTCATCTGCAACAAGTCATGTACCCAAATCAAGAGAAAGACATTATGAGAACTTGAGTGAAGAAAGAAAAGTTGCCCTTACCTGGTCCCTTATCCTCTCCTGCTGTCCTCGAATTGCCAGGGCATGCTGGGGATATTTACTCTTCAAGTGGTCCATGAAGGCATCCCGCTTTCGTTCCATCTCAGACTTCTGAAGCCCGGTGAGGGCTTCCAGACTCTGGGCAGCAATGACAGTGTGACGGCGTTCTGAGGTGTGCACCAGCCCTACGTTGGAAAAGCGGCGCGTGCCATTGCCCAGAGTCCGGTATTCCCGTGGATATTCTGCATCATCTGCTGAGATCATGTGGCCGCTAGTCCTCTCAGGATCTACGCAGATTTGGGAGGAGGAAAGAAAAAGCAGAGAGGGAGTCAGGGCACCTTTCTACTTACCTCACAGGGGAGAAGAGGAACCAGGAATGTCAGATGTATAGAAGGGAACGGGGCAGTTTTTTTGAAACAAGCAGGAGGAGGAAACCAATACTGGGCTTGAATATGGTACGGATCAGTCCTCATAATTGGATGGATCCACCCTTTTTGGATTGGGCAGTCCCCATTTTGTCCCCCACCCAATGGAATTTCTCTTTGGCAAAAATGAACTGTTCTCACCAAGGGAATCAAAACTTTACTTTCTCTTCCTATGGAATTGCCTTAAAACAAGGTCACACAAATTTCAGGCCCTTAAAGGGAGAACAGGAAGATTTCAGGCTTCATGGAAGCATGACAGAGGTGAGTGAGAAACAGGGAAACAAAGGTCTATTCCAATCACTTTGGATTCCAAAGTGATTTCCAGAAGGCTTCTGGGTGCAAAAGGGACAAAGGGTGTGTTTGAGGGGTGTGCAGGTGAAGGGCAGAAAAGGCTGTCATCCAGGAGAAAGACATGACTGACATAAACATATCAAGACAATAACTGGGGGAACCACAGAGACATTAAAAGGAGCCCCAAAGGAGCCAAAATCAAATGTAAACAGTCAAGAGACCTCAAGGAGGATGACAGCCCAAATGTCCCTGCTGTCAAGCAGAGACAGAGTGAAGGACAGACACACAAACATTCTGATACAGCAAATACAGAAAAAAGAATTAAAAGAAAGCAAAAATGAAGGGCAGGTTAGTTCATAGAGGGAAGGATTTTTATGGAAAACCACTCTGAAGCTCAGGAATGGCTGGCATCATCTGAAATCAGAGGGACCGAGACAGTGCCTGTCCCAAGAAAGGGAAGTATGAAAATCTCACTAAAACAAAGCTAGACCCCAAAAGGTCCCTAGCCTCTCATGAGCATCTTCATTCATTGCCAGCAGCAAAATAGGCCAACAGGTCTCACAACCAAGGAAGCTCCAAACCATTTTACTCCCCATAGGATTTTCTTATCACCCCAGGGAATTCTTGACCTCTGAATAAACTGTAATTCTCCTTCCATAAAAGTCACCCTAGTTTAGCTACCCCATTCAAAACAAAGGATGGCTAGGTACAGACCAATATATATTCTGAATAAAAGAAAATTCAGATTCCATGTCAAGCTGATTCAAACATTATACCCAAGAGGGAAAAATAATAACTCACATCACAACTAGTGACATATTCTTTTGAGACAGCAGAAGCCACTCTTACCATCTTAAAACTATTTGATGTATTGGATTCGCCTGATAGCATCACCTTCCCTGAACATTTCAGATCCACAAGATCCTTCTTCTGAGGTTGCCAACTACAACTCCAAAAATGGCACTGCCCCAGTTACACGTTTAGTCTTGTTGTCAAGATGGCCATTTTGCAATAATATAATGCTTCAGTTATGGATGTAATAAGCAGTGGAGTGTAAGGATGATTTCAGAGATTGGCAAAGCAAAGACAAGATTTTTCCTTCATAAAAATACTTTATGGGGTCTTGTTATGTGGAAAGGCGGGTGTGGGGGGAGGGGAACAAGTACCAAGAAGAATTAAAAAGGGATTTAACAAGGCAGTTAAAAATGAAGATCAACTAAGCTGTGCTCTCTGCTGTAGAAAATACAATGTTGCCGTTATAATGATGGCATCTTTATGCCATCTGCTCTTTTCCTTTGAAATACTATTTCTTGTATTAAGGATACTCTCAGGTTTTACACTTTTTCCTCACTGCAAAGTTAAGCACATACAAGCAGTTTCATCCAAGTTCTGGCAAATATGCTAAATGTATCTGTGCATCTGAAAGACTGGGACTACTCTGGTAGCTCATGTTTGTTGTTGGAACATGGTTGCTTTTTCAGCTCTTAAAGAAAACTATTTGCCTGGAGCAAAAAAGGCTGACCCTCCCCGCTCCCCAAAGCAATTTCTGATCCAGAAATAGTTGGAGGCATTTGGAGCCTAGACCAAAAATTCTGAGTATACAAAATGAAATATTAAAACATTTCCTCTGGATCCTTCTTCCCATGCTTGTCTCCGTGCTTTCCATCATTCTGTCTGGTTTTACAGCCGGCTTGTAGAGTTCTCCACTTTCTGACTCTCCAGCTGCTTCCCCCTCCTGCTTCAAATATCTCTTGTAGACCCACATCTTCAACATACCCATCCCCAAACCACCTTTCCTAGTTGTTCTTCTCCATAGGCAATTTGCTGACCTCCAGATCTTTTGGACAATAAATTTTAAGAGCCCCAGTCAGCACCGCCAATGATGGGACATTATAGGAGCTATAATCCATCTGGAAAGGGTATCTGCCTGTCAATAAGAAGAGGAGAATCAGGGATGCTTAAGCTCACCAACATTCTCAGAACTTTCAAGGAAAGTTCAGTTCACTCACATTCTGGCTTTTTGTTTCTGTTGTTGTTTAGATAGGAAGAGTACACATTCAGAACAGAAAACTGTTCTAAAATGCACTTTATTCTTATTGATTAAACCATTACAATGTGAATGTTTTAAGCTTGTATTTTTAAATGGTGCACTTTCAGATGTGTGCATTTCTTAATGTGTGTATGTTTAAAGTGGGTATTTTTTAAAGTGCACATTCTGTGAATGTGCACGGAAGTCCAGGAATTTGCCAACATTTTTGGAGAACTGGCATTCAGGGTTACAAGCAGGGTATTTTTGAAGGATTTTCAAACTTAAATGAAATCCTCAAACATCCCTACCTGGCAAGTTAGTTTATCAATCTTTGGCCATTTCCCTATCTTATACATGAAAGTAAATAAAAATATAATAAACACATAACTTTGGACCACGTGTTCTACAATGTCAGTCCCTGTATTCTCTAACAGATGAGGCAGAGGACACCATTAGAAACTCTTGGTCTTATGTCATTGTATCCTCACAATTTGTCACTTTGCTGCAGCTGTAAATTCACAGCAAACATTTTTAAGGCCTACAGTGAGCAACTACATTTCTTATATATGCCAAGAATCTGTTTACAGACAGCCCACTGAAAATAACTATTGAGAACATTTTGCCCCTTCCAAAACAACCCTTTAGGAGGCTGTGATTTTTTTTTTTTAAAAAAAGCCTGCAATATCTTCCATATGCCTATAGGGGCATGTGTGTTTGCACATGCATATATGAATTTATGATATTTTTGTCCTGCTCTTGTGCCATGGAGCACAGTGTGATCCCTACTTCCATTTTATCATCACAACAATGTTTTGGGGTAAGTTTGGCTGAGAGATAGTGACTAGCCCAATCTTATCCAGTGAGGAATAACTCAAGTGCAAATTTGCACAAATTCCTCACAAAAACGAAAAACCAATCTGCAGAAGTATGTGCAATCCTCGTGACTCAGTTACCTGCAGAATCTGCAGGTTGGTTCATAGAAACCCAAATTCACTTGAATCCTTTGTGGATTCTTTCAACATCTGTAATCAAGAGACCATTTCACATGGTTTGAAACCATGGATAAAGAATGTGTGGAGAGACAGCAGCTTCGCTCCTCTGGCGCCTAACCTGAGTTCCAGGAAAAGCAGACACAATCTAAATCCACATATTATTATGCATGGCTACAGACCATGCGAAAATAGTGAAGGCAACCTTCTCCAAACCACCACCCTCTGGTCCCACCATGTGCTATCCAGGAATGGTAGAAGTGAAATTCTAGCAGAGTCTTAGGGCACCAAGTTGGGGAAGGCAGAACTAAAGCAAGGCAATGTACTGATGGCCACAGCATGCTGAATCTGAGGAGAGGAAGCTGGTGCCCTCCAGATGTTGTTGGACTTTACCTACAGCATTAGCCATGCTGATTGGGGTTTTATTTATTTATTTATTAAAACATTTTTATGCCGCCCCATTCGCCGAAGCCTCGGGGCGGCTTACAACATAGAACATAGGGTTAAGGGGAGCTGGAGTCTAGCAACATCTGGGGGATCTCTGGTATTTCCCCCCATTTCTAAATGATTGTGCCAGAGCAAAAAGCAGTTGAGTGTGTCAACACCGTTTCAACCACTTGCTCCTCTCAGCACAAACACTGGTTCGCACTGAGGGAGTAAGCTCACGCCTGGGCTGCCTTCCCTTCAGAGAGGAGGCTGTGGTTATCCAGGCTATGTGGATTTTCAGGCTAGAGAACTGCACTGTGTTGCATATAGGGCCATATTTGAAGACTGCTTAGAAATGAATGTTTCTACAAATTACTCACTGGTGAAAAGGGAACATACCTTGCCTGAGCTTCAAGAGCTTCACTGGCTCTGGTCTGTTGCCAAGAATAACTGAAAGCCCTGCCTGGGCCAAGCTTGACCCTACTCCTACACAGAGAAGCAAGGAAATCTGTGTGCTCCCACCTGCAATCTGAAGTGGTACAGACCATAGCCAGGTTTAACGCCTCAGTGAGAACTTTGCCTTTGTTTATCCCTTGATGCATGCCTTACTTTATGAATGACCCTAAATCCCCACAACTTTTATTACCTCTATTCCCATGTTTCTGTTTCACCCTGAGGGAGGAGTGCCTTCGAAACTAAATCACTGGCACTCTACAAAATGGCCCTCGTCAATTAAGTCTGGAGACAGATGATTGTTTTTAAGAGAGTTGAAAGCAGGGTTGCCACCTTTTAACCTGATAAATTATGGCAACCCAGCTATTTACCACGTCAGCGGGCAAAACAAATAGGACATCAAAGGGGCTTATTGAGACCACAGTAATTCTGTGTATCTATCTAGTCCCCTCATAGTAATTATTAAACAGGTCACTAAGGCAAGAAAAGAAATCCTTATTAGCTTGCACAGCAATTTCAGATTTCAGAGCTGGAATGACAAACAAAATAGCAACACTATTGTACTATATTTCTACAAACTAGCTTATCTTTCATCTTTTTAAAAACATACTTATTGCAGCTCTGTAAGGGTCAAATTAGATATGACAGCCACAGCCTCAACTCAAATCT